CAATACGTTTTTTGATTTCCTGGCTACTGGTTAGATGTCCAAAATAGGTAAATCTATTAGTGACAGAAAGATTAGTGGTGGCAATGGAAAAGGGAGAATGCAGAGCCTTTGAGGGGACTGTAAAAGGGTGCATCATTTAACCTCGAGGTAAGGAAATGTAAAATGGATTGGGTTGATGTTTGCAAAACTCTGTGAAAGTACAAAGATCATTACATGGTGCATTTTAAAGTTATATGGCGTGTGTGTTGAGTCTTGCTCACTCACTCAATGCCAAGAAGCCAATTCTAACTCATTGTGACCTTCGATCTTGTTTTCAAGGCTGGTAGACTTAATGCAAGGAGAGTGTTTAGCTTTTTCCTGTGGAGCCACAGCTAGATTTGAACTGTGCGGATGCATGGCTTTTGATTAGCAATGCCACATACCATGGACTGTGTCCCCAGAGGTCTTTTATATCTCAGTGTAAATTTATATCCACATATCAGTGAATCAATTTTTAGAGCCTACCTTTATGAAGAACCAATTGGCAGCATCAGGATGGATGGTGAAGAGATTGAGATTGTACACAGCTTTAGTTTGCTTGGCTCCATAGTCAACAGTCTTGGCACCAGCAGCCAGGAAATGAAAAGGCGCATTGCCATGGGAAACTCTGCTGTTAGGGACCTCTCCAAAGTACTGGAGAGCAATGGTGTCTCTCTGGAGACTAAGGTGCGTCTGATACAGGCCATGGTCTTCGCAATCACTTGTTATGCATCAGAGAGTTGGACAATGACCAGGGAGGATAGAAGGAGAATTGATGCCTTTGAGCTGTGGTGCTGGAGAAGAGTATTGAGAATACGATGGACTGCTAGGAAAACAAACAGATTTGTCCTGGAAAGGGTTAAACCGGGTGGCTCCTTGGAGGCAAGGATTCTGAGGCTCCATCTAACATACTTTGGACATGTTGTGAGGAGAGACCAGTCCTTGGAGAGGGACATCATGCTTGGGAGGGTGGAGGGACAGCGCAGGAGAGGAAGGCCCTCTATGAGGTGGATTGATTCAGTGACTGGGATAATTGGGATGGGAGTGTCAGAGACAGTGCGATTGGCACAGGACAGAGCGGAGTTTAGGGCTGTTGTACATAAGGTCACTATGAGTCACAAGCGACTCGACGGCACATAACAACAAACAACAAACTTTATGAATGTTCTAAATACTCATGAAAATGGCTAGCCTAAAGACGACTGAGGATACGAAATGCTGGGAATGTTGAGGAGTCGCGAGGACCCCGCCCCCCATATGATGGCTGCTCATAGAAAGAGCAGTGGGTAAGCAAACGTCCTACTAAGGTTAAACATGTGTAAAACTTATAACCCACAAGTTCTACCCCTAAATCTGTACTTTCAAGTATACATATTGCAGCAAAACACATGTAAAGACTCTTTATAGTCCAATTTCACATCACAGCCTTGAATATTCATCAGTGTTGGAATGGACAAATAAATGGTGTTAATTTATACAAGAGACTGGGATACAGCAACAAGAATGAAAAACCTACAACTACAGCCAACAATATGGATGAATCTCAAAGACTAGGCTTGAGTTAAAGAAAAACACATAGAGAACAGTTTCATTTGCTCCATTTTCCCCATTCTATTTAGTTATTAGTGTTACAAACCATGTGGGTTTTACACTGTAATTACAATTTCAAACATATTTTGTTGTTACACTGTAATGAAACTTTCATTCAATCATATTTTGATGTATAACATTGTAAATATAATTTCATTGGATCCTTGAGACACATTTTATAACATTAATTACTGTAATTAATTTGAAGGGGGTCTTAGTCAACCTCTTATTTTATATTGTCTTTCCCTTCAACCAATTATTCTTTTGTTAGTTTTTAAAATATTATTAAATTTTTTTAAGTTCAGGAGAAGGAAGAACTTGTGATTTTAGATGTTAAGGAGTAGAGAAAGAAAGGGAGAAAGGGGGACTTGTGGGAAGTTGGTAATGGTCTTTCTTAATCTGGGTCCTGATCACATAAATGTGTTCACTTTGCGAACATCATCAAAATATACTTTTATAATTACTTACCTGGAAGAGGAGATGCCATGATCACAAAGGCGCTTTCTCCAGGGTGAGGCTTAACCATTGCACTTGGATATGATGATCCCGGTGATTTCCCCAAATGTGGGAAACTCAACTGTATAATTTGTTGTAGTGGGGGCTGTGTTCGCGCTTTTCCCTGTTAAAGAAAAAATTTTTAAATGTGCTTTCATGATTTGCACACATTTTTTTGATGTATACATTGCAGTTTAGAAAAATTATTACAAACTCTTTAGCTTTCCTGTTATCTTTTTGTCTTGGGTCTGGACTTGGGGCTTGCTTGTAGGTAACAGCTCGGGGGAATGAGGAAATAACACCTCTATAGATAGGTCAACAAAGGTGATGCATCCTCTTTTGATTTCTGGGACCCATTCTTTTGTATCTTTAAGCTACTATGCTGTTGTTAGGTACCATTGAGTCAGAACCAACACATAGATGACTCTCCAACAGGTTTTCAGAGGCAGTAAATCTCACAGGAGGAGACTACTCATCTTTCTACTGAAGACCAGCTGAGGGGTTCAAACCATGTGCCTTTGGGATAGCAGCATATCTCCTTACCACTAGGCCACCATGAAGAAGGTCCAGTTATCAGGAGGTGTCAAGCTGTGAGGAAGCCCTGGTGACAAAGAGGCTACATGAAGATGCTCTCATCTTACTTGGAACCAGCAGTCAAGAAATCAGGAGATTAAAAAATAAATAAATCAGGAGATGTATTGCATTATTGCATTGGGCAAGTCTAGAGTCAGAGAATTCTGCAAAATGCTAAGAGTAATGATGTCAGTTTGAAGACTAGGGCATACCTGATTCAGGTCCTGGTCTTGTCAATCACCTGCTATGCATCAGAGAGCTAGACAATGACTAAGGATGACAGAAGAAGAACTGATGCCTTTGAGTTGTGTTGCTGGAGAAGAGTATTGAATGTACCATGGCCAGACAAAACAAACAGATGCATCTTGGGAAAAGTACAGCTAGAGAGCTTCTTGGAGGCAAAGATTGTGATGTTTCATCTTTCATACTTTGCACATGTAGGTAGGCGAGGTTATTCCTTAGAAAGGGATATCGTGTTGGAAAAAAAATGGAGGGTTAGTGAAGGGAAGGTAGGCCCCCCAAAAGATAGATTGACACGGTGACTTCAGCAATGAGCTCAAGTGTGTAAGACATTGTGAGGGTGGCACAAGATAGGGCAGGGCTCAGGTCAGCTCTTCCCAGAATCACTATGAGTCGTACTCAACTTGATGGCACCTAACAACAACAACACTCTTATCCTAAGCTGCTTTGCCATCAACCACCACATGAGTGAAGCCGCTTCCTAATGACTTCAGTTGCTACCATGGAGTTGTCTCCAGCTGTTGATTCCTCGCAGCTGAAGCTCCAGAAATAGAGGAGCAAAGGCAAACCATCCGTCCTGGGCCCTGTTCCAAATCCTCACCCATAAAATAAAACGGATTTAAGCTACTACATTTTTGTGTGATTTGTTACACATCAATATGGAACCGTATATTGCTTTTATGTACCATCAAGTGCGAACTTACTCAGAGCTGGCCCTCCAACAGGTTTTCAGGGGCATTAAATCATAAGGCAAGAGATTGCCCGTCTTTTTTCCACTGAATTAGTGGATTAGAACTGGATGCCTTTGGATTGGCAGCACAGTACTTTACAACTAAGCCACCAGTGCTTCCTGGAAAAGTATGTTCAACTTCAGTAGCAAGTTTACTTTAAAAAGGTTTTACTTCTAAGAAAAACTGGATAAATTATGTATACTGCCTTGAAGCAGATGAGGGAGAGAACAATTTAAAAGCGATACATGATAAGGTATTATGGTTATCACAGGAGTTAAAGGAGGAGTTATCACAGAATTAAGGTTGCATAGCGAGGGTATTGGGGGGTGGGGGTTGCGGGGGGATTATATACCAATGGAAGAATTTTTCTTTTATTTTCAAAGAGAGGAGTGAACTGGGGGGAGGGCTGGGCAGGGAGAAGGGTGCAACAATGAATGAATGGAAATCCAAAATCTCTGTAAATGTTCATTAAAATTAATAAAATGAAATTAAACAAAACACACACACACAGGTCTTACTTCTACATGCTGCTTCAGCAAAATGATTATTACTGATCTTGAGGTGTGACTTCAGCAGACAATATGGCATCTTTATTTTTTTGTGTGTCTCCTAGATATCACATTTTTACTTTTCTGTCTCCTAGAAACCTCCCTGGGATGGCTTCCAATGAGACCAATGCCACCACACAGTGCCCCTATAGCCTTCTCCTGTCCGAGGAGGCCGGCATCACCCTGTCTCTGTTCTACTCGGTTCTCTTTGTCTTCAGCGTCTTGGGGAACAGCCTGGCTCTGTGCCTCATTTGCCAGAAGAGCGAGAAGATCAACTCAACCGGCATCTACCTGGTGCACCTGGCAGTGTCTGACCTCATGTTCGCGCTGGCCCTGCCTGGCAAGATCGCCTACTTCGCCCTGGGGTTCAGCTGGCCTTTTGGCGTCTCCTTCTGCCAGCTGACCGCTTTCCTGTTCTACCTGAACACCTACGGGGGGATGAACCTCATGGCGTGTGTGAGCGTGGACCGCTACCTGGCTGTGGTCCGCGGGCACCAGTGGCCCCAGCTGCGCAGGGCTGGCCGCGCACGGCTGGTCTGCGTGGGCATCTGGACGCTGGCCCTTCTGCAGACGGGGCCCTTGCTCTTCATCCCCATGACCACGTCTGTGGAGGGCAAGCTGACCTGCATGGAGTACGCCAGCGTGGAGCACATCCTCAGCCTGCCTGCCCTGGTCATGATGGCCTGTACTCTCTTCTTCTGCGGGCCCATGGGGATCATCCTGTTCTGTTACGTGCAGATCACCATGAAGCTGTGGCAGTCGGCCCGCGCAAACCCTCTGAGAAGCAGGCAGGGCCACCACCGCAGGGCCTGCCTGCTGATTCTGCTGGTGCTGGTGGCCGTGGTGCTGTGTTTCAGCCCCTACCACCTCAATGTCATCCAGTTCATGCTCAAGCGCATGCTGCATCCCTTATCCTGTTCAGAGCAGAACACGTTCAGGATGTCTCTTAAGGTCACAGTGTGCCTCATGAATCTCAACTGCTGTATTGACCCCATCATCTACTTCTTTGCATCCAAAGGTTATAGGAGATGGTTCTTCCGGCTTTTAAAACTTAGAGGGTCAGCCTCCACCCCTTCCTCCTCAGAGATGCCAAGTATCAACCAGACGGTTGGCTCTGAGCCTGTTACACAAAGTAATGCCTAATGTGTCATTGGTTTTAAGACTGAGAGGCTGAGGTTTGGAGGTCTCAAACTCATACAACTGAGAGTGGGGCTGTTTTAAGAAAAATAATGCACGATGACAAAAATAAAATTAGGTAGAGGGTGGTCTTAGTTATTTAGTGCTGTCGTTGTTGTTATGTGCCGTCGAGTACCCTGCAACTCATAGGGACCCTTTGTACAACAGGTTTGAAGCCCGTCCTGTTCTGAGCCAATCTCACTGACTCCAACACACCTACCCCTATGGCCCCAGTTACTGTGTCAGTCTTCTCATCCGGGGTCTTCCTCTCCTGCTCTGTATATCCAACATTCTGAGCTAAATATCCTTCTCAAAGGACTGGTCTCTCCTGGCCATGGGCCCAAAGTATGTGAGATAGCTTCAAAATCCTAGCCTGCCAGGAGAAACTTGGTTTCATCCTCTCCAAGACTTGTCTTGGCAGTCCACGGTATGCTCAAGACTCTTCTCCAGCACCACAACACAAAAGCATCAATCCTTCTTCTGTCATCCCTAGTCACTGTCGAGCTCGCTGATGTATAACAAGTGATTTTGACCACCATGGCCTATATTAGGTGCACCTTAGTCTCTATACTGAAATAATTGCTTCTCAGTACTCTGGAAAGGTCCCTGACAGCAGATTTTTCACAGTGCAATTAGCCTTTTGATTTTCTGACTGGTGGTGCTAAGAGTGTTGATTATGGAACAAAGTAAGCAGATCTATACAATGAAATAGGTCATTTGAGTTCTTGACTATGACTATCATAGATATTGTTTGTGTATCCTAATAACAGGAAATTATTGACAACTTCAATCTTTTCTCTACCTCTCTTCATGTTGCCTGTTGATCTAGAAGTGAGGGCTTTGGGATTGTTGGGTTTTTTTTGGTTTTTATATGTTGAGGTGTCATCCATGCTGAAGGCTATAGTATTTTATCTTCTTCAGTAAGTATTTCAAGTCAGCTTCACTTTCTGCAATCAAGGTTGTATCATGTGCATAATGCAAGTTGTTGATAAATCTTCTTCCAATCCTGAGACCACATTCTTTATATAATCTAATTTTTCAGGTCATTTGCTCAGTATACAGAATGAGTAGATATTATGAAAGGATAAAGTTTTGATATCCCTTTTTTATTTTAAACCACACAGTATCATCTTATTCTATTCTCATGATTGCTTCTTGGTCTCTGTATGGGTTCCACATGAGCTTAATTGTGTGTTCTGGAATTCCTAGCCTTCTCAATCCATACAAATCCTATTTTTTTAGCAATTTAGGCTGTGTTTCAATTTGGGGAAATGAAATACTGTAAAGGTCAAAATTGCCTTCCCACCACAAAAATAGGCAAACCAATGAACCATTTTGAAATGCTTACAGATACCATTTACTGAACTGCCAAGATTTTTTTTAAATGTAAAAAAAAAATCCACCCCCAAAAACCCCCAAAAAACCATGAGAAGGCTATACTCAAAGATGTTGACCTGGGAGTCTCTGGAGAAGAAAGGAGTGAGATGGTGTCTTTTATTTTTATTTCATTTTAATTTTGTGCTATAAGAACACATTCACCACCACAACAAGATAAAGGTAAATAATCCAATAGGAAAATGGGCACAGGATATGAATGGGCACTTCGCCGAAGACGACATTCAGATGGCTAACAAGCACATGAAGAAATGTTCAAAATCCCTAGCTCTAAGAGAGATGCAAATCAAAACAACTATGAGATATCATCTCAC